TACCACGTTATTACATTAATGCATGTAAGGTGAACTAGCAAACACAGTCGTAGTTACATGCGGCTGTCTTCTTGTTTGATGGCAGATACTCCCGTCACCTGGCCAAAAAGGCTAAAATGACCAAAGAAAACGTGGAAAACAGTTAAACATGAGAGGTTTTTGGACAAAGTTTGTGTTTTTTCCATTGTTTAAGCACTGCTTCCAGCCAAGAGTGATACCATATATGCCACATAGCTGCAGAAAAGGCTAACATTGTTATCTTTTTACAAAAAACCAGCTGAACATGAGAGGTTTTTGGACCAATTTTGTGTTCTCCATTCTTTAAGCACCGGTTTGAGCACCGGCACTGTTTCAAAAGTACCGATTTGGCATCGGTATCGGATAAAACCTAAACGATACCCATCCCTATTTGTGGCAGCCCTACTGAACACCTGGACTTCTGTATTGTATCAGTCTTGCTGTTTGGTCTGTGAAAGTTTGTGACAAAGCTGGGGAAAGTTCCCTGTCAATTATGTGCATGACACTGATATTTTAAAGACCATTTCAAATGTGCTCATTTTGAAATTACTTCGCAGCTCATTGACTAATGATAATGTGACTTCACACTCAATCAGGTTGAGCTCATTGCCACACATCTCTGCAGAGGGGAAGTTGTAATAATTTCCTGGATTGCTGTACACTACTGATGCTTTTGTGGACAAGAACCAGTGCTTATCCAAATTAAGGCCCACAGTTAGATATCATTCTCACTGCATTTCCAGGACCAGTAACTGGATTTTTAAGGAGCTATTTATCATTGAAGGTAAAAAGAAAAGCCTGATCATCATTCACATACGGTTCAGACTGACTAAAAGGTTGTTTGGTGTAGCCTCCAAAAACAAAATCAGTTATTGTAGCTCACAGACACAGTGGGAGTATATTTGTGACATCTTTGGTAAGATACTGAAATACTGAACCACTGAAACAATGGATGCTGGCCTTGTACAGCAGATGCCACTTGACTCTTACTAGTTTGGGATTCATAGTAGTAAGTGATAAACCTGCAGTCTGCTGAGACTGAAGAAGTCACCCAACTTTTGGGGATTTACTTACCTGGATGATTGAGCATGCATCAAAACATTTCACAGTGTTTCCTAAATACCCTCTCTTGTCTGATCATTTCCTGTTAACATTTAAATTTACATTGATTGATTTCACAGCAGTGAGAAGTAGACTTCATCCCAGTAGATGTCTTTCTGAATGGACTGTAACTAAGTTAAAGGATAAAGTTCACCCACTGTTATCATCTTCAATGCCCTGTACCAACGCAGTGCAGAACAGCTACCTGAATCCCACTCCCACAGATGTTGATTATCTTGGTAATAATTTTTTTTCACTATATACGTCTATGGATACCGTAGCTCCTTTGAAAAGAAAGCCACAAATCAGAAGAACTTGACTCCCAGGTATAACTCTCAAATCTTAGAACAGATAACTCGTAAGCTAGAGAGGAAATGGCGGTACGGCAGATTTGTGGCCCTCCAAGTATGTTCCTTCTGCAAATATACCCCAAAACTGTAGGGCTGTCGTGGCTTCATGTATGGTTGTGGTGGCGTCCACGGTCCATACTCAGATTGTCTGTGAAAACATTAGCCCACATAGCAGACAGGTCTGGCCCAGATCTGGTGTCAAGCCAGCACTGCTGGCTGACTTCTGGCATGATAAGACATATGTCATCCAGATATGGGTCAAAGGAGCTTGCAAAGAAAAGCGTCTGGACTTCTTTAAGTTACTTGAAGACGTTTCACCTCTCATCCGAGAAGCTTCTTCAGTTCTAAGGTCAAATGGTGGAGAGTCCCAGATATAAACCTAGTGGGAGTAACCCCCCACAGAGGGACAAAAGGACCCCCTGATGATCCTCTCAGAGGATTGTGGATAGTTTTGTGCTGTCTGTCAGAACAATGAGGTGGCTGCTGTCTCCAGGTAGAAAACAGAAGTGATACACCTGCTGTCAGACCTGCAGGTATCAGGCTGTGATGTTCACCTTTATAGTGGACAGAAGTTATGTTTTTGGAGTGGCACAAATAATATTATTGAATGCAGAACACCTGATTGTTATGTAAATAGTTTGAAATGGTTATTTTAAGAAAAATCAAGGTAAAAGGTAAATGGCTGCAAATAACTTTGTTTCCAAAGTTTTAAAATTGAAAATGTATATTTGCATTTAAAGTTATGAAATATGATTCATTAAACATGTTTGTGGTTGTTACAGTAAAAAATATAATTTTTTTCTACTCTGATTTTATGTTTTTTTTGTCTGATTTTAGATCAATTGTGTTAATACAGTATGTCAAAATGTAACTGTAAATTCAGACATGTGAGGTTGTGCTGAAAAGGATTATACCAAACAAGGCAAATAAACAGTTTTTAAAGGTGAAATGTGGAGGAAACATCAAAAGTAGTTAAAATGGCCAATTATACCCTGGACCCCAGAGGGTTAAACCTTTTTTTTTTTTTAGCGCCGCGCTATTTTTTTTTTTTAGTTATTTATTTTTTTTTTGATTTTTTTACTTCGTTTCTTACTTCGTTTCTTTTTTTTGAAGAAGTAACTAGTAACTAGTTACTTTTTCAAAGTAACTTGCCCAAC